AAAAAACAGATAAAGCAATGTTATGTCATTTTCACAAAAATTAAATTAAAAAGCCATTGATTTTACATATTTATACATACATATATACAGAGCATATCACTTTGGACCAAATTCAAAATGATATTGTTTGCCACTTATGTTTATTTTTTAATTTTTAAAATTTTTTAATTAAAAAAAATTCATTCCCTTACAAATACTTAAACTTAAAAATAAGCTTAAAATTTTGCTGAACACTGAAAAAAATTCATCTAAATTTTAAACATGTTTTTCAGAAGTGTTAAAATTTTTTATGAGTATACAGTTTTATAGCCCATTCAATTTTAGTGTAACAATGCGCAAGTTTCAAGTAGCTAAAATTACCGTTGATTTTTTAGATTTTTTTCCGCTGCCACTGAATTTCAAAATATGTAAATGTTTGAAGAAATTTAGAAAAAGCACTTGAAAAAAAACCACGGGAAAATTATAAGTAAAATGGTAAATGGGGTACGAAAAATGTAGGTACTTAGGGGGGTTGGGTACATAAGCGGGGAGGTACTTAAAAGATGCATTTTCTTCAGAATACATTAAAAAATTCACGGTGCCTAAAAATGTTGGGAGCTTAAGCGGGGGTACTTAAGCTGGTTTCACTGTAGCTTAATATAGAATTAAAGTAATTGGCACATAGTCATAGTCCAAATAAAGTCCACTGTAAAGTTAGTTGCAGTTATTTTTTTAAGGCATCCCATTGGAAACATACAGCACCCATTGATAGGGGTCTTCGGGTGTACGAATTTATTGTAAGGAGTTGAAGGCTTGCTCTAGCTGCTAGTCTTTTAAAATTTCCTCCAATCACGTCGCAAGCAGATTTCTCATCTGAACTTGCAACAAAGTTCAACTCTGTCATTTCCTTGAAGAGATTTTCATTATTTTAGACCGTTAGTAAAGTTAATATGATTTATTCATATTGTGTTTTTTTAAACACCTTTTCTCTTTCAAAAATATACAATTTCATAAAAATTTTATATTTATTTATCATATTGCTCCAGCGTTAGACGATATAAGTCCATACACCTAAGTAGCCCATTACGCCCATTTGGGTACTTAAAGTTGACATTATAGACAATGTTTTTATGTAAAAATAAAAAATTTTTAAAATGCTATAATCAAAAAAAAATACCAAAAAGAAAAATGTTTACTTATTTTATTTGTTTTTTATACGTTGCACATTAATGCTAAAAATGTATAATTAAAGCCCATAATAAGACGGAAGAAATACATTCTTTTCATTAAGTTTCGTTAAAAGGTTTCCAAGATACAGCACTTTAAGGAAAGGTATGTATTACGTTTTCTTAAATTTTAGGTCCCATGTAAATATGCAACCCTAAGTCATATCGGCAAAATATGCTGCACGTATATTTATGCCATCTAGACCTTCAATCTCTTCAACTTTAATCCAAATCCTTAGAGGTCGCGCACAGAGGTGGCCGCGGTGACAGGAAAAGCTTCTAAAGTGAGCAGAGGCGCCCCGCCTTTCACCCTTTCTCTGGATAGTCGTGATAAACGACGTTCAGGAGGTGTCAGAAAGGAGAGGATGCCGGGTTATTGCCTACGCGGATGACGTGGCACTCATTGTCATAGGAAAGTTCTTGGACACTCTGTACGATCTTATGCAAGGATACCTAAACATGGTCACAAATTGGTCCGCTAGCTGCGGACTTGCTGTCAATCCTGGAAAGACGGAGCTCATTCTGTTTACATGGAGATGCAAAAAGCCTCATACCCAGCTCCTCAGTAGGGGCTGTTCCACTTGTTCTCTCTGACAAGGTCAAATTCTTGGGCGTGATCCTGGACAGGGAGTTGTCATGGGAACCAAATATTGAGGACCGAGTAGAGAAGGCATCGGTGGCTCTCTACTGCTGCAAGAATGGCATGGGGAAGAGATGGGGCCTCTCCCCAAAAGTGATGCACTGGCTATATGAAAGGATTATTAAGCCAATAATGTTAGATGGGGTCATTGTCTCATAGAGTTCACTCTAAAATACTACTCATGTTAGGATGATAGAGCGCTTGCAAAGGGCGGCTCTCGTTGGAATCAGCGGGGCGCTCCGGACCACTCCTACTCTAGCGCTAAAGCTATGCTTAATGTCGCACCTGTCGACATTACGGGCTAAGTAGCGGCGGTTCGCTCAGCCATTAGGCTCTAAATCTCTGGGTTCTCTTTCAACCCAGCGCATGGGCACTAGACAATTCTCGAAAGCTTCGACTTCCTGCCGAAAGAAATGGACCGGATTCACCCGAGGTTGGCCCCAAAATGATCCTTCTCGCAGATCTCTCCAAGGGACGAATGGAAGAAGGGTAGTCTCTGGAGAAGTGGTCCAATAAACATCTTCACGGACAGATCGAAGCTGGAAGGGAGAGTTTGAGGAGGTGTCTACTGTCAGGAACTCTCAGTAGATCTTCCGTTCAGACTGCCGGATCTCTGCAGCGTTTTTCAGGCCGAGGTGGCCGCTATAAAAGAGGCCGCCGATTTGCTATGCACCAATATATTGTCGACAAGGGGGGTAAATATATGCACTGATAGCCAGGCGACAATCAGGGCGCTGGGATCGCTAATGGTGTGTTCAAAACTGGTTGGGGAATGCCGGACCTCTCTCTCAACTGCTTCGGAATACTTCCAGATCAAGCTGATTTGGGTCCCAGGGCACAGTGATATCACAGGGAATTGCAGGGCTGATAAACTGGCTAGGCAGGGCACCCTCGACGCCATCACCTCGGTCAGGGAGGGCATTGGAGTTCCGTTGTCAACCTGCGGTCTGCTTTTGGACAGATGGGCTTACAGTTGGCTCAGCGAGCGCTGGGAAAAAACCCCGACTTGCAAAGATGCAAGGCCCTTCTGGTCGGTTGTGGACCGCGGACGGCCAAGGGAGCTACTGCGGCTGTCTAAGCGCCAGCCCTCGATTATCACAGGTGTACTGACCGGCCGTTGTCCTATGGGAACCCACGCGGTGCGACTCAAGATCGTCACAGATCCCTACTGTCGCAGTCGCCTAGAAGACGAGGTGGAATCATCTCAGCACTTCCTACTCAACTGCCCGGCATTCGCTAGATTAAGGTTTAAGCACCTGGGTGCGCTTTTCATCAACATTCCCGGGGGACTCTCCGGAGTGTACATCAGCTGTTTGCGGAACTTTGTTGTGAGCACCCAGCGCTTCTCGTAATTTTACACTGTTACCGTGCAAATGAATTTTTATGTAATGTGGTATCACAATGGACAATTAAATGTCTTAAATGTCGCGGGTCTGCCACCTTAACCAAACCTAACCTAGCTAATCTGAAGCCGGCAGAGGCTATAAGAAATCCATACAAAAACAGAGAGAACAGTGGCCAGCTACCTGAGAGCAGAAAGCCAAGTGTGACATCACACAGTGTACCTACTGCGACATCCGCGGCCAATCCCAAAACAACCATCAATTCGTTCTGTCCCTAACTCTTTCGCCTGATGTTGTTCTTTGCATGTGGGAAGCAAAGAAGGAGACACCTAACTTCTATCAAATGATTTGTTTGTCGTGCGGGGGAGAAAGTTCGTTCTGCGTCTTTAAGCAGAGATGACCGGGGCTCCCAGCCAGGAGAAGGATAGCCCGGGCAACAAACAATAAAAGTTTTAAAGAGAAGGAGTGAAAATGAATTAAAAGATAACTTAGATATAGAAACACCACGAATTTAAAAGTTTACACAGTAGGAAATTAGAATATGAAGAAGCCAGGGAGATAATATTTTGAGAAACTATAACCGAAAAGAAAAGAAACAGGAATTTAAAAAAAATACAAAGAATGAGAGAGAAGAGTATGATATACAAAAGAGTTTTTAATAAGATAGTGTCCACGACGCGACAGATATTTTGCTCAAACTAAAATAGGAGGTAAAGATACCTTGGCCTTACTAGACTCTGGTGCCGGAGCTAGTTGCCTGGGGAAAAATGTAAGCAAATTTTCTAGAGGGCCATGAAGACATAATCCTTCCTATAACGAACCAAAGTATCAAAACAGCGAACGGAGGCGAAACCCTACTGACAGGTGTAATAGTGTTACCAGTGATATGGGATGACATGATCACATGAGGGATCTAGAGTTTTTGAGTTCCAGGGTTGAAGCAAGAAGTGTATTTGGGCATAGGTTTTTGGAATGCGTTCGACCTTAACGCAGTTAGCATAGGAGCTATAGCGCGATCAGCCCCCGCTACGATTGCAGAGCTCACACCCGCTGATGGTGACCTGTCCTTCGACGCAGTGCAGCATATGTTGACCCCAGACTAGACGGTAACTTTAGATAAGGTGAAAGCACAGCTCCCGTATTTTGCTGTCTTAGGGTTAGGCCGAACAGACTTGGGGGAGCATGCCATCGCAGTGCACGATTTCACCCGCGATACAAAAACTAATCTATAAATACCTGGACAGAATGCTGAGTATGGGAATAATAGAAGAATCAAACAGCAGTTGGAACTCACCAGTGTCACTAGTAATCAAGAGAACTAAAAACCGACTGTCTTGACGCGCGTCAAGTAAACGAAAGAACAGTTAAATACGCCTATCCACTGCCACATATTGACGGAATACTTACGTCGGCTGCAGAACATGAGGAATATCTCAGGCATCTATATATAAATACGCCACAAGAAAATTTTGCAATCCCTTTTTTGAAGGCACCGTTCGCTCGATTTCAATGAAACATACACCTATTTAAAGGATATAACTTCCTCTAATCCAGAAATGTTAATCCCGATATATTGGGGGCGTGGCATCTGACATATAGACTAAAATGTGAAAACCACTATATTTCTAAAATCAATTATTTACTTAATTATTTATTTATTTATTACAGTCATTTGATCTATATACATTCACGTATATATATTTGAATTATGTATTGCAATATACAATAAAAGTAAAGTTAAATTTAATGCTTAAAATACGTTAACCTGTTACATTTTTCCTTCTAAGCTATATATAAGAATGTATATTTAACTAAGCATATTCTCGATGCTGTTGGAATGGACGGGATTCCAAGCAGTACCGTAAATATATCACGTACGATATGCGGTCTAAGAGTGTAATTTCCAGAGCCGCCACAACTGAGCGGTTGGAAAGGACTAGTTTCCAAGCCGCTTCTTATAAACTTCTCTACCGCCAGGCGATCTGAATGGACGAAATCCAGAGTCGCGCCATTTGATCGGACGGAAAGGACTAGTTTCCATGCCGACCTCCTTATTTCATACATTATGGGTGATCTGAATGGACTAAATCCACAGTCATCCAGCCAGTACGGATGGAAAGGACTAGTTTCCATGCCGGACCTTTCTATCTGATATCCAATGTTCTACAGTGATCAAGTAGCAGCCTTTTGAAGGTAACATCGTTTTCGCAATTTTTTATTTGAGCTGGAAGTTCATTATAACATTTTAATCCCTTATAAAAGATATTCTTCTTATCTATTTCCGTTTTATACAGCGGCAGCCTGAAACTATTATTTCCCCTGAGTAAATACGAATGGGTTTCACTATTATATCGTAGGATATCACTCAGATAATCTGGGAGTCTACCTTGTTTTATGTTAAACACGAATTTCATAGCGTGATAGAAAATTTGCTGTTTCACGCTCAGCCAGTTTAATTCTGCGATCATTTCCTGTATGGGTGTGTCGTACCGCTTGTTCAAGATAAATCGCATAGCCCTATTTTGCATTTTTTGAAGCTTATCTATTTGTGTGTCGCTTGCTATAAAAAAGATAGTTGGACAGTATATGAAATGTGGTTCAACTATGGATCTGTAGACCAAAGTCTTATACCTCCTTCCTAAGTACTTACATGATCTTTTCATGAGACCAATTTTTTTACGAATTTTTGCTACTGTGTAGTCAATATGTTCCTCAAATTTTAACTTATCATCGATATATATACCTAGATATTTAATGATTCTCACTTTCTCAATTACTTCATCTTTAATTTTTAAACTGTAATTATCGGAGCTAACGTTAGCTGCTCTAGATATGACCATAAACTTTGTCTTGTTCACATTTAATTGCAGTCTGTTTACGCACAACCATTTATACAAACAACGAAGGTCTTCTTGCATTTTAATCATTGCATTGGGTAGATTACAGTCACTGAGGGTTAAGAGGGTATCGTCGGCGAACAATTTTACCTCACAGTACTTCAATGCTGAGTTTATGTCGTTGATATGAATATTAAAGAGTATTGGAGCTAACACCGACCCTTATGGTAGACCAATATCTACTGCTACCTTTGTGGATAGAGCTGTGCCAATCACCGTTTGTTGCTTCCTATCAGAAAGAAAAAAAATCTAGTGCGTTACGCAATATTATGATTACCCCTCCTGTATGTCTACTGTACGAGTCACATCTTACAACTTGATATGTAGGAAACTGTATTTCATAGTCATATATTTCCTCTGTTGTACAAGTTTCGGAACATAGAACTATATCCGGATCAACAATTTCAATTAGCCTTTCAAGTTCTATTTTAATAGCTACTATACTACTTATGTTAAGATAAACGCATTTCAAGTAACTGTTATGCTTTTCATGCACTGGCTGAACAGTCAACTCCATGCCACGGTTCCTATTAACTGACTGTAATTTTTAATAGCTGGCTCTATTTCTCTTATGCTCTAGTTTCTTCATGTATACAGGACACTGCCGGTTAGTTGTCAAGTGGTTTACGTCGAGCCCTAGATTCAATTTTTTGTTTGCACGAATGCAATTGATACACTTGTTTATTTACGCCTTTCTGCACTCCATTGTTTTATGTTTACCCAAGCAATTCAGGCAGACCTCTTCATCCTTGCACTTCGTAGCTATATGATTGAAGCCCTTACATTTGTAGCAGACTGACACACCCATACCATCTTGGACTCTACATTTCTCTCACCCAATATTTATTTTTTCGCTTTTGAGCACTGCCGAGAAGGTATCCACGTCCGTTTCAATGAGCACATTATAGTATTTAGACCTATCTTTCTTGACTTCAATGTGTTTAATAATTTTAAAGTCAGCACTTTTTAAACAGTCATTTTTTTTTATCATTTCTAGAAGTTGCCCGCTTTCATATTTAAAGCTTACTCCAAACGCCATAAACTTGGGTTTAGCCGTATTCGGCACTCTAATTTCATAGCAGTCACTCATTTTTTTTGCAATTGCGGTCTTTATTTTATCGCGCTCAAATTCGTTTTCGCTTTGAATAATGATTGTACCACTTTTCCTACCCTGCACATTGCTTATTTTTAGATCCGATGGATCAACGTTCTTATTCAGGTACCTCTTTTGTTTTCATCGCGTCTTGCTTCTCTTTCGGTTTTATGATCAGGGGTTTCTCTTTATTTATTTTCGGTTCTTTGTTGTTCACTAATCCGCTTTTTAAACGCTCAGCATATGAGGCCTTGCTGTGATGACTTGATTTCAGCTCTTCACTTACTGACTTTTTTATTTCTTCACATATTTTTCTACTTTCACTCTCATTTCGTACCATAGCCTCGCATAGATCTTGGCTATGCTTTTTCACATCTTCAGCTACAGCTTTCATCTTATTGGCCTCAGCTATGCTAGTTTCGCATGTTTTTTGAACTCTTTGCATTGCATCTATACGCTCACCGAATTTCCTCTCTATAGCTTCTAAAAGGAGCTTTAGCTCTTTAACCTGCACTTTTTGCTACTCTTGAAAGTCGTCTTTACACTCTTTTATGTTTTTACTATTATTCTCTATAGAGATATTCATATTTCGCAACACCTCATCAATATTATGCATATATGTGAGACAACCATCGCACATAGGCATTGTCCGCNCAATGAGCACATTATAGTATTTAGACCTATCTTTCTTGACTTCAATGTGTTTAATAATTTTAAAGTCAGCACTTTTTAAACAGTCATTTTTTTTTATCATTTCTAGAAGTTGCCCGCTTTCATATTTAAAGCTTACTCCAAACGCCATAAACTTGGGTTTAGCCGTATTCGGCACTCT